AAAACTATTCAAAACATCTACAACCTGTTTCAACTTATAAATCTTTTGTAGTCTTTTTAAAAGCATTTAGTAAAATCAACTTTTAAAACTGCAACTTTGCTTGTAGATTATTCCATGCAAAAGGTGTTGCGTATTTAAAAGCCTTTTTCCCCATCTCAGTCCGCACTTTAGGAACAGACAGTAAATATCCTTTGACTACAGGCTTTTTACAAATGTAATTCTGTAGATATGATGAGAGTAAACCCAGTATAGATATGTAAGCTTAACTACTCCTCTCTTTTAATTATCTCTAATTCTTAATGTGCCACGGACAAGAAACATGTTGCTTTCCAACTAGTCTTTGCTTGCAGTTTTCAATGGTATGTGTGTGATGTCATTGAGAAGGCAGACAAACTGTAGCAAATCATTTCCAGAAGGGAACTTAAACAAAGAATGGCTACCAAAGCAGGGTATTTTGACCTGGACATGCTGTTGTTAGAAAATCCTCAAAAAAACAAAGAAATCCCAAAAGTTGACACTCTGTTGGGCAAGTCTACCTAGCAACACCAGATCCATCATTTCTCTTTTGTTTTGGCATGTTCGCATGAGTCCATTAGAGCTTTTATTGGTCAGTGTCACAGACGTGATTGAACCTGTCATGGAGGACCGAAACAAAACTCTCAGTGTGTTGGGACTTTGTGAAGCATTCCAGATGAGACATTCAGTGCAAAACAATACTTTTCTGAGAGAATTTGTTTGTGTTGTTTCTTGGCCAAATATTAACAAATTCTTAAATCAAGAAGCATATTCTTGTCCAGTAAAAATGAATGTCTTTCTTTCTGAAAATGTCAAAATTAAGTAAGCTTTTCTTTAAAATATGCTAAATAATTGGTCAGAAATGTTCTTCAAATTATTTAAATGTTCTTTGATTAAGTATTTGTTGAAAGGTAGAACAAAGATTGTTCTCCCGTATGACATAACTGTGAAAACACCCTTTTGGAACCTGCAATATGAGACAAAACAGTAATTTCTTCCATAACATACTTAGTCCCTTAAATAACAGTCAGAATCAAGCTGATATCGTGTCTAAACCTGGCATTAGTGTGTGGTTCTTTTTATTTTAGGCATCATGTTTTTATCAGTGGACTGGAAAATAGTTTCCAGTTGCATCCAAGAAAGGAATCTGCAATTATTTCTCACAGTATGAAGGAAACTTTAACACTGTCTAGGCATATTTTCCATCTTTTCCAGCAGTGTATTTTCCATATACACAGCAGAACCAGTATATCTGATCTAACACTTCTGTGTTAGATGGTTACAACTCTTAGGTTCACCAAAACCACGTTCATCTGGCCAGAAATACAGTAAACGTTGAAACATTGCAAAATGTGATTGCAGTTTAAAATTGCCGTTTTTTTTTTTTTTATTACATTTTAAAATGTAACTTATTGCGTTGGTTTTTCAACATCATTTCTGCAGTCATCAGTGCTAATCCAAATATGCTTATTTGATGTGTAAGAAAAAGTCTTATTTTTTATAAATGTTGAAATAGAGTTGATTTGTTTTTGTGGAACTGCAATTTTACAGTCAATGTTTATCAGTTTAATTCATTTTAATTAAATTAAAAGTGTTTTTTTTTAAATCAGTTTAGTCCATTGTTATCGAATAAAATGATTTCTTTCTTTTTTTTTTTAATCCTTACTGAACTAAATATTTTAAATAGTACTGTATTTTTTAAGCAGTAGATACAACATTTTCAGTTTCTTTTTGGACTGTGAATGTACTTTGAGCAGTGTTTAACCTCATGAAATGAGCAACCGTAAGTATATAGCAAAACACATTTGTCACAAATTGTTTTATTGGAGTCTGTTACGGCATTTAGCTTTGTTTTCTTTTTTATTATATTTTAAAATGTAATTTATTTCCTTGATTTTTCAGCATCATTATTTATTTATTTTGTTTATTTGGCAGGGACAGTGTACATTAATTAGCATTTCTGCCAATGCACCAGAATTAGCCCGAAGGCTATTTTTCATCTGTTGTCCATTAACAACCTAGAAAAAACAATACAAAAATTATACAATCTATCAAACATATTTAAAAAGTACTAAAATAGACATGGTCATATAGATGTTAAAAGAGAATATTTACAAATTAAGCTAAAACACCAACATTTTGTAATTGAGATAAAAATAGTTGAAACACATTTAAACAACAGATCATTAAGATGGTGGGCACAATAGGAAACATGCTAGTTTCAATTTAATCAGAATGATGACACGTCTGATTCTCTATAAACCAGGGTTTTAAATGTTTTTTGAATATATTAAATGAGGTTATCTCTCTGATGCTGCCAAGGACAGAATTCCACTCCTGTGCAGCTGTAACTGAAAAAGCACCCTGACCAAAGGACCAATGATTAGTCACGTCTTCAGTGCCAATTTAAATATGCTTATTTGGTCTGTAAGAACATTTGTCATATTTTTATGAATATTGAAATATAGTTTTCCGTTTAATACATCTTTATTGAATACAAATATTAAATTATTTTTAAATAATACTTAGCCAAAACTTTTACATGTTTATCAATTTGATCCATATTGATTTCTTTTTTTAATCCTTACATAACCAAAGATTTTAAACAGTACTGTTTTTTTTAACCATAAAAAACTTTAGAAAACATTTTTAGCAACATTTTCAGTCTCTTTTTGGACTGTGAATGTACATTTCAGCAGTGTTTAAACTCATAAAAATGACCAACCCTCAGTATATAGCATTTGTCACAAATTGTTTTATTGTTGTCTGCTACGGCATTCAGCTTAGTTTTCACTAGAATTAAATTTTTTATTATGTTTTAAAATGTAATTTATTCCCTTGATTTTTCAGCGTCATTGCTCTAGTGTTCAGTGTCAATTCAAATATGCCTAATTGGTTTTTTAAAATATTTGTCTTATTTTTATAAATTGTTACGACTAAAGTTTATTTATTTGTTTTTGTTGCTCATTGCATGTGTCCTTTTCTGTTTCCCGCCTACTTGTGTTGTTTTCTGTTATCTCAAAGGCTCCTATTTTAATGTGATCGGATTAGCTGCTAGTCGCAGAGAGCCATAAAAGAGAGCTTCCGGCAGAGTTCGAGGAGCTGATTTGTGGTGCGACGGTTGCTGGGAGTGGAAAGCTCCTGGATTCACCTACCCCTCTGGCTGACAACCAAACTCTATTCTTGTTGAAATGTCCATGTATGCTTGCAACTTTTTGAGAGTTTGAGCTTGACGGGGTGGCCTGCCTATTTATTTGATTACTTTTGTCTTGGTTTATGTGTAGAGAGGAAAGTAAACTACCTGTATTTTTCTTTAAAGACTTACAAGTTATTTAGTTTATTTATTTTGCAGAATCTTTTGTTTGTTATTTTGGCCTGCGGCCACCCTGAAGAGATTCTCATTTAAATTGCATTTTTTTAATATAATAAATCTATTCAATTACTCTCAACTGAGTGTCCACGTTTGGTTGTCGACCGAAGGTAATCCTTTGCATACGTTTTTGTTTGTTTGTTTACTCTGCACTGTAAAACCCAACAGTCAACTTTATCAAATGAAATGAGTGTAGTTAACTCAAAATGTACTGAAAGTTAATTCTACTCATTTGAAAAGAGTTTTGAACTCAGTGTTGAAGGTAATGAGTTAATTAAATACCTCATTACTTAAAGTAATGAGATTTCACAGTACTTGTATAGATTAGTTAACTCAACTGGTTTGTTGCAATCGGTTTCCTGAAACAGTTTGACTTCACTCTTTGGGTTTTACAGTACTCAGTTGGTTTGAGTTCTCTTCATTTATTGGGTTTTACTGTGCTCTAATTGCTTAGTTTACCTCAAATGGATTGAGTTCACAGTACTCATTATGATTTGTTTTTGAACTTAAATGGTTTGTTGCAATCGGTTTCCTCCAATGGTTTGAGTTACTTTAACTTATTGGGTTTTGCAGTGTGAAAAATTCACCTCCCACAACCTTCCTTCATCATATTTTCCCCTGGACTTGGGATGTAATTGAATATTGAAGTATAGTTTTTGTGCAACTGCAATTTTTACGGTCAATGTTTAATCTATTTTTATTGAATAAAAATATGAAGTTATTTTTTAAAGATCCTTATGGAACCAAAACTTTTAAATCCTTATCACTTTAATAAATATTTATTGAATAAAATTATTAATTTCTTTTTTTTATCCTTACAGAACTAAATATTTTAAACAGTACTGTATTTTTTGACCGATAGAAACTTTAGAAGACATTTTTAGTAAGAAAGTCTCTTTTTGGACTGTACATTTCAGCAGTGTTTAAACTCATTAAAATGACCAACTCTCAGTAAATGTATATATAACTCAGTATATAACTCTCAGCCAGTTCAAATATTATTTGCTGTGTAAGAATATTTCTTAATTTTATGCATATTGAAGTATAGTTTTTGTGGAACTGCAATTATTATGGTCGATGTTTGTCCATTTAATCCATCTTTAATTAATTTTTTTTTATCATTACTGAACCAAAAAGTATGAATGTTTAATTTAATCTACAATTAATAAATAAAAGTATTGATTGTTTTTTTTTTTAATTCTTACTAAACCTAAAAATTCTCTTTTTGGACTGTGAAAGTACTTTCAGCAATGTTTAAACTCATAAAAAATGACTAATCCTCAGTATATAGCCAAACACATTTGTCACAAATTGTTTTATTGGAGTCTGTTACGGCATTTAGCTTTGTTTTCGCAAGAATCGCAGTAGATTAGTTTACATTTTCAGAGTTTCCACACTAAGACATCTGGAACCACTTGCCACTCTCATTAATAAACCTTCCAGGTATAAAGCATTGTTGACTCCCTAATTGTGCTTTTGTTGTCAAATAGCATGTACGCAGAGCATTTCCTCGACAACTTACATGCAAGCTCCTCTGTTCTTCGTCATAGGCTTTCTTGAAACTGTGAGTTTGACAGCGATTTCATTCTCCGTTTTTGCTCTTCTGTTCCTTCAGGCTTGATTCCAGATGTGAAATGGGGTCCTCCTGTGCCATTCTTTGACTTTTTGGCAATAATGGACCAAGAAGCGCCGACTTACGCAGCACAGAAAGCTCCTAAAACGAAGAATGGGGGCAGAGAAAACCACAAAGAGCAGAATCATGTGACCCCTAACCAAAGTCAGGGCCCACATCCATCAGCAAACCCCCAAGCACCTCGCAGGCACTCTGAACTATAACATCAAGCCCTCTCGCCGCAACAGGGGTTATGTAAGCATTTCACATGACTGCTTGACATCTGCTGGATTCCACTTTGCAAGTGCTGTTAACATCATTCAGTTGTTTTCGAAAGTGTTTATACATCAATATGTCCGTATCACACTTACTTTTTGCGAATCAAATGGACTTTTCCAAATCAAATCAAGCATACGTGCGGATAGTTTACATTTTTGTGCTGTAACTTTATATATGTGCATCTGGTTTAGTCTTTGAGAGTGCGTTTATTTATTTAAAGACTTTATGTAAACATTTTATGCGAAATTTTTTTCTAATTCGTACAGCATGTGCCTGTTTGGTAATCGTTTTGTACAAATACAGAGCTACACATATGGGTGACATTTGTAAAATTCCTACATTGTGTGTTTATTCACTCACGAAAGAACAGCAACTGGCTTATTTTTCCTTTTTCTTTTTTTTTTTTTTAACGTACCATCCTAGAAAGTCTGACTTGAAAGCGGAAAGAGGCTGCATCTTTTTTTGATTGTGTTGTTAAAGTAAATTAGCGTCACGTTTAACGAGGGTGGAACTACTTTTTAATGCAAACCAAAGTTATGAAATAAGTCTTTCGTGTTTTTCTAGGAGCTGAATCTAGTGTTAAACCCTATTGCAGATGTTTTCAGGAACATCTTAAATAACTGTGTTTTTGGTCATGCAATTTGATCCCTGGAATGTGCTTGGATGCATAGATGAGGTCAACGTTAAAGCCGTCATGGAAACTCCATAACAGTTATTTAGGCACCTATTTTCTTACATATTTTCCTTAGCTCTGTTTTGAGCTTCTGTATTGGACATTAGAGTTACATTTAAGAAAAATGGTGCTTTAATGAGAAGTTGAGTCCCAATAATCATGGTCCTTAAAGAGGTAATTCATCTAAATATGATAATGCGCCATTAATTTACTTGCTGCCAAGCCAACAAAGATTACATAAAATGCATGTCAACAGCTACTGGTACATTTACAGTTATATTATATTATATCACATTATATCATTATATTATATTATATCATATTATAATCTATTATATTACATCGTATTATATTATATATTATATTATATCATATTTGGTAAAATTCTTTCATATTTTATCATATTATATTCTATCATTCATTCATTCATTTCCTTTTTGGCTTAGTCCCTTTATTAATCCAGGGTCGCCACAGCGGAATGCAACTTATTTAACATGTTTTTTACGCAGCGTATGCCCTTTCAGCCACAACCCATCTCGGGGAAACAACCATACAACTCATTCACACTCATACACAACGGACAATTTAGCCTACCCAATTCACCTGTACTGCATGTGTTTGGACTGTGGGGGAAACCGAAGCACCCGGAGGAAACCCACGCGAACGCAGGAAGAACATGCAAACTCCACACAGAAATGCCAACTGACCCAGCCGAGGCTCAAACCAGCAACCTTCTCGCTGTGAGGCGACAACACAACCTAATGCGCCACTGCGTTGCCTATATTATATTATATTATATTATATTATATTATATTATATTATATTATATTATATTATATTATATTATATTATATTATATGAGAAAAAAAACATGATTACCTGTGGCTTTTGATGATTTAAAAAAATATTTTGGGGTAAACTTTCTTAATAATATATGATGTTTTAATAAGCACAAAATAATTATTATTACCAAATAATGTCTCTATTTGGTAATATTCTTGAATAAATTCAGAACTACAGCTATTGGAGACATTTCTAATAACTATTATTAGTTAAATACAATATATAATGATTATTAATTGAATAAATTCTATAAAATTTTCCATGGATGAAATTTTTAAAAAATTACTACGGAAGTCAATAGGTGCCAGCAACCAGCATTTTACTAAATATGTTCTCGTGTGTTCAACAGAAGAAAGAAGCTCGGATATGTTTTGATTAAGTGAAGGATGAGTAAATGATGACAGAATTAAAAATTTGGGGTTTACAATCTCTTCAAGACACAGGAAGAGAAATAAAAAGAAACCCATGAATAAAATCACCCAGTGTAGTCCATCCTCCAGTGCAGCAGGGGGCACCGTCCTAAAACAAAAGCCACCGCTACACTACACGTAAAATCCACATGCATATAATTTAAACTTCCATATGTGTTCAAATCTGCACAGTCTTAGCACAGCATTTACGGTGTGGTTAACGGTAACACCAAATTTTGTAAAAAGATGGGTACAATACACAATCTTCCAGCCCAGAGTGAAGTTATACACATTAACAATGATTTGGAATTATGTTTGTATAATGTAGTTTAATGTAAAAGTATGTCAATGCTGCTCTATGGCAGTGTTTCTCAACCACGTTCCTAGAGGACCACCATCTCTGCACATTTTCCATTTCTCCTTAAGCAAACACACCTGATTCAGATCATGAGCTCATTAGCAGAGGCTGAAAGACCTATAATTGGTTTGACAGACAAAGGAGACATCCAAAACATGCAGTGCTGGTGGTCCTCCATAAACGTGGTTGAGAAACACTGATCTATGGCACAGCAGGATGTTGAACAGTTGTACTAAGGGTGATGTGGATATACTCTGAGTGCCACGGTTGTCTTTACAACTCTTTTGTTTGAATTGAAATACGCTGAATGCTTCTAAACAGTGTTCAACCCCCATCATTTTGTACATTCCTTGTAGTTCAGTACTAGGCAGTGCTTAAAAGTCGAACTTGTTGCCTATTATCGTAGCACAATTATGAGCATTAGTGGACTCATCTTGCAGCGTCTGGTAAGAAATGATTCCAGACGTTAGCTCCCAGTGTAGTCACTAAGAAAATGCACTACAGGGAGAGATTATGTTGTATTGATTTTGACTAGAAGCTCATGTGGTCCTATCGATCTTCATGCAAATTCTTGGAAACTTGGATGAAATCTGCACTAACAAACGTATTATTAGATTTTGAGATGGTCTCATAGTTTGAATACAATGTTGATTTTAAAAATCAATGAGAAGCTTTTATGGAGATCATTGGTGTTGGTTAGGATGTGGTGGGTTTATGTTTTATTCATTTACTCTTGTCTGGAATGATGAATGTTTTAAGGAGTCTGTTGACGGTGATGCATCCGTCGCTTTAACCCCTCTGACCCCCTGAAAGAAAAACATCAGAATAACATGCGTTTAGGAATCAACCACATCAAAAGACGCTCTGAATTTCCTGTAGTTGTTTCTTTAATGGTTTGCGCTATAAATTATGAAACTGTAGGTAAGTTTTGAAGAGTAAATTACTGATTAGAGCTTTTTGCCTGAGAGTTAAATTTGTGATTATTTGTGGTCATTTATGTGCATTGTATTATTTATATATGGAAAGTAAGCAATTTGAATTATGTGCCCAGGGCTATATTTTTGAGAACCAAGAAATATGTACCCTGGACCATGTTGTCTTGCAATTCTTGTTTTCACAAATCCACTAGAGGCCACCATGTACGTCTGTCGGCTTGTGCATAATAAATCAGATTGATATCGACTGACCCGACCGCCCCCTCACCTAAACCCAACCGATGGTGTTTTCAAACGCAAGCAAGAAAGCCATTGTGGGTGATTAAATGGATAATGCGGGTCCAGTCGCAAGCAATCATAAGCACGTGATCCTCTCGAAATTAGTTTAGAAATAAACTTCACTGAATGAAATACGGTTGTTTATGGTTATTTAGAAAAATATTTGACGGTTTCTGCCATACTTTTAACAGTAAAATTCTGGCAGCCACAGCCATTTGTTACCATACATTTTACATTTGTGTTTTTTTTTTTTACACATTTGTTTGATGTCAGAGCTTAGAGTAGAAGGACCAGAAGGTTTAACCAGATAAAAAGACAACAGATACCCAAATAACCTCCCATCACTTCTAAAATCTGCAGAAGAGCATTTCTGAACTTGTAAAACCTCAAATCAGATGAACTAGCATGAAACACACTAATGACTCTCCTGTCAGATGACTACAGCAAACCGAGGCTAGAGATGCAACAAAACTGCACAACAGGAATTGTTAATCTTTTGCAATATCTGGCTTTTGGTGTTATTAAAATTCTTGACTGACTGCTCCTCAGTTCTCAAGTTGGTATAATGATGTTGGAGTGGCAGAGGTTAAATGCCAAAACCTTGACCTTTGAGGCAGTGTTGTTGTTGATGTCTATCCATAGACCTGACAAGTAAAATATTTTCCGAAATTATTGTTGCATTAGTTTTATCATTACATCTGACCTCAAATGGTTGCAATATTCTAGTCCAAAGAGTTGTTGCTGCTGATTAATCTCTATCTATATGTACAGCCACGAAGTAGGTTGACTTTCAGAATGAATGCATTATTTCAGTTTGATCTTCTAAGAAAAATCAAGGTTATTAACCAAAAATGTATCTCTTAACTATTCCAAAGTTAAAACATGGGTATTTTGCTGTCTAACAATTAACATAAACATGTCTGAAAGCACTTTTTTATTTTGATAATATATAGCATATTATATATTACAATTGCCATTTTACACTCTCTAAATAACATTATTGTAGTCAATTTAGAAGAAATGCATCATCAGTTGGTGGTTTGCACATCACTATATATTATAATTTGCGCATCACTATATACAAATATATTGTAATGGTAAATCCAGATAAAGTTGTCTCTATTTTATCCTATAGTTCCATAGTGTTCCAATGTATAGGTTCAAGTTTGAATGATTTAGTAATCAGGATTTAACAGCCTGATCAATAAATGACTCTGTGCTGAGACTCTTCAGGCTAGCAATTTCTGTTTTCCCAAGTGCCATTTAGCTTTTAAAGAAATAAAGGATGACCACTCTAAAGACCGAAGGACAGACGTGATGTGACATGATGGTGATTTTATTGACAAAAAAACCCTCAAAGCCTTTATAATGAATCTGGCATTTAACATTTGGTAATTAAATCTCAGCTCTTCTACATCAAGCTGCAAATCTGTTTTAACGTAAGGTATGTGACTGTGAGCACGTTTTTAATTCTCTTTTCTACGTTGGAAGTTCCACCACATGCAATTTCCTTTTTTTCTTGTGGGTTTGAGCTGTGATAATTTGGCTTATTAAAGCTGAAATGCAATGACAGCAATACGCAGTTCTGGGATTTGATGTGTACAAGTTGGAGGGGAAAGTCTGAAGCAGAAGTTGAATCTTTTTTTTTCATTTCGTTTCTCTTTGCTTTGGCACAAGTTAAGCCAGTGGATTGCACGATGTTATGAAATATGCATGTCGATACAAGACACTCTTGCAACAGGATTAAAGTGCAATACGTTGATTTCAGCTAGCTACTGTGATATCAGAGTGATATTTGAAGAGGCTGGAGAATTTAGAAAACATGATATTAGTGGCACCGATGGCTTTTAAGTGAACTGCAGGTTATTTCTCATACTCGCACTTATGCACACGTAACATTCATTCATTCATTCATTCATTTTCTTTTTGGCTTAGCCCCTTTATTTATCAGAGTCACTACAGCAGAATGAACCACCAACTTATCCAGCATATGTATTACGCA